TCGACTTGGCCATCTCTGCAATCACAAACCCAAAAACCCAAATACAAACACAAGTAATTAGTAGCAGAAATGAGCTGAGAATCGAGATAGAGGATTGAAGCAAGAGCCTTTTCTAGTCGAGAGAAGGAGAAGACGGCACGAACCAGAAAGAGAACGAGGGATCTATCAGCGACGTCACTTGGCTGTTAGGGTTCTCTTTTGACGCAGCGAAATGAGAAGTCGGGCTTTATATGTGAGCTCCTGGAAAAACCCTAGCTTCCGGCTCTTGTATTTTTATAATGACGAAAGTGCCCATCCATTGCCGATTGGAATAAAAATTCGGTTTGTGCTTGGTTGGGCTGGCTCGTTTAAGAGCCCAGTCGTGATAGGATTGGACTTTGTTGGTATCATCGAAAACCCAATTCCTCTTTCTTTCCCTTCTGACTTGCAGATTTCACACAAGGGTCTTGCTAAAATAAAATATAAAAACAATAGGAGAAGTTGTGGGGAGAAATTAAAGAATTATGAATAAAATAAAATTGAAAGAAAAAAAAAAAGGATTGTTAACAATTATTAATCAAATCAATTGTGTTGTGTTGTGTTGTGTTTGAACAAAGGGTTATATAATATATAACGTTATGTTGTGTTGTAAATAAATGGACATTGTGTTCGATGGAATTTGAAAAAGAAAAGATTTGGTATTTCAGTCAACTAATGAAAGGTAGATGCATTTTCTATTTTTCTTTTTTGAATACAAAGCGATAATATAAACTACAAGAAAAAAATAGACGTGAGCTTAAATTAGATTAAAGTAGTTGATGTGTTTCTCCACTATGCACCCGAATTCGAATCGCATACCCGTAATTTAGATTAGATTAAAGTAGAATTATTTTTATAAAAAAAATTATAAAAAAGAGATATTTCTCACGCGCACTACCAAAGTATCATCATTTCCTTTCTATATTGCAAAAAAGGGATGTATTTCATCGTTATTTTGTAAAGAGGAAAAGTAAATTAACGGTACAAAGTCAAAACGACAGAGAGGCAAATGCAATTACAAAACAAGAAAGCAAGCCAATCAGATTTAGGTAAGTATATAAAAATTATTTTCCAAATGACATAATATTTCCCTTACATATTTAATCAGAGTTAGGTGAGTATTTATATCCACCCCAATAGGGTGAAAATTAATCTCACATAATTCACCAAAATCACCACCATCACTTGCTTGCAGAGCCCAGAAATCCACCGGCTCCAGTTGTAACGCTGAACTGGCACACAAACGACAACACTTTACACCCATTTAAATAAATTTTCTTTATTTCGTCATTATTTCATTAGTCTGATTCGATCTCTGTAGTCTCTGCGCTTGATTTGTTGTGGGTATTTGGTATTTCTCTCGCTAACCCACCGATCTGGTCCTTGAGAAGAAGCCATGTTCCTGGTCGACTGGTTCTATGGCGTCCTTGCCTCTCTGGGCCTATGGCAGAAGGAGGCCAAGATTCTGTTTTTGGGCCTCGACAACGCCGGCAAGACCACCCTCCTCCACATGTTGAAGGATGAGGTTTCTCTCTTTCTCTTTTATCATTATCATGGCTTATTTTTGTTGGGTGTTTCTTGATTTTGATAAATATGTATGTATGTGGTGATGGGTTGTTGCAGAGACTAGTGCAGCATCAGCCGACCCAGCACCCAACTTCGGAGGAATTGAGCATTGGTAAGATTAAATTCAAGGCTTTTGATTTGGGTGGCCACCAGATCGCTCGCAGAGTCTGGAAGGATTACTATGCTAAGGTGTTTAGACTCTCCCCCAGTATTAGATTTGTAATACTTAGTTGTTCTAAGATTTGATTGATTATAGTTTTCAGCTGAAACATGATCTGCACATTGCTTGCTTTGAATTTCGTGCTTGCACTATAACGATGGCTGCTACTAATACGTGAATCATAATCTCTTGTTTTACTTGGGTGGTAAATTATGTTTCTGGGTTAAAAATCTCATACAATGGTACAGTTCATCAGATTTGGGAAGGATTCCTACGCAGTACAGATTGTTTCTAACTTTCATTTATTTATATATTTCGATTTCTTTCTTTGTTTTCAAATTTATTTGGATGATTGTAGCTTTTGTTGCTTGTCTACATCATGTTTTAATCCAACTATTGGGTTGATCTCAGTAGATGGGAAAGCTGAAAGTAGGCATGATTTGTTTGCTATTGCTGGTTCGCATGTTTTGCCATCATAATCCCAGCTAAAATTTCCTTTTGGTTATCTGATTCATGGGAGGCAAATATTTACAGTGGAGATTTTGCTGAGAGCACCTTTTTGGTTTTCCGTCTTTCTGGAGGTGTTTTACTTGTGTCTTTCCATACATGGTGTCCTATAAAAGCTATCATGATTCCTGAATGTGGTTTGGGCTAGAGTTGATGACCTATTCTTCCATTAAGAAAACCTGGGTCTCAAAGTTTTATTCTGTGGATTAACTTGACGCTAAGTATTTTGTAGTTTTAGAAAACAACATAGAGTATGGTTCAACACCTTAAACCATGCTTTTCTGTCTTTCTTTTCCTGTTTATTCCTGACGTATGGGAAAATGTTTGAAGTCAATTTTATATGTTTGAGACCTTTAATTCGCAAAAATAACTTATTGTTGCCATTCTGTCCTAGCTTTTCAAAAATCACAGCATCAACTTACATGTATTCACGCACATGCTTCCTAGTTCTTTTTCCCTTTCTAATAAATAACTTTGTAGACCTACTCCATATTTCCTAGTGGAGAAGTCAGAAGAGTGAAAAAGAGAAGACAACCGTAAGAGATTTATGAAAAGTGGAAAGTGGGTTTATGACTTATGAGCTATTCCAGACATTTGAAGATTTAATTGAGGTTGCTTCTCTTCACAGGGGTGCCAATTTGTGTGGTGATTATATTTTGAATTAGACTTGAGGACCTCTCAAAGTAAATGCTTAGTATTTACCTTCTTGCATTCAGTTTGGTCTCCCTTACACATACCAAGTACAGTCTATATATCATCTCAGCCCTCTCACGGTTTTCATGATTGCATATCAAATTCTTAGTTTTTTTCCTGCAGCAAGCTCTACTTTATCAAATATATAAAGTGCTATAATTCCTTTATTGCTCAAGTTTGTGATTCCTTCATTCCTGTTAGTGAATTTGAGTTATCTAGTACTTATTTGGAGTGTGCCAAAGTAAATAAATGCTGCAAGTTTTTAATTCAACTTTTTTTTTTCTCTGTTGTGAACAGGTGGATGCAGTGGTTTACCTGGTTGATGCATACGACAAGGATCGTTTTGCAGAATCAAAGAAGGAGCTGGATGCACTCCTTTCAGATGAGAGCCTGGCAACTGTTCCATTTCTTGTGCTGGGCAACAAGATTGACATCCCCTATGCTGCTTCAGAAGATGAGCTGCGATATCATCTAGGACTGACTAACTTCACTACTGGGAAGGGAAAAGTGAATCTTACGGACACCACCGTCCGCCCCCTAGAGGTTTTCATGTGCAGTATCGTCCGCAAGATGGGGTACGGGGATGGCTTCAAGTGGGTCTCCCAATATATCAAATAGAGAGTAGAGTAGGGGAGATCCTTTTTGGCGTGTAGTATTTGTGTGGTACTTTTTTCCTGCGAATTTGTAGTATCTGACCACAATTATAATGGAAGAGGATTTTCTTATTTGATTTTTATCAGATTGAAGGATTAAACACCCTCATCATAATATATCAATTTGTTGCAATGTTCGATTTTAAATATGGGGTTCTTGAACCAGATTCAGTGTGATTCTTTTCTGATGAACTATTTACTATTTTAAAGCATTGTTTTTGGTTGAATAGTTTCATGTTCCTTTTTTCTTTTGAAATTCTTAATTGTTTGAACTATGTTTCCCTTCTAGTGATGTGTTGTACCCTACACTTTTGTAGCACTGATCATTTCTCTGGTTGTGCTGGTTTTGGCATGTTCTTTCTAATGAGCAACCCCCAACCCTCTTCCTAGCAGCCTCGACCCCAACCCCCTCCCCACACATCCTCAGCCGTCAACCACCCACTTCTCAAGCACACACAACACCATCGATGTCCCTTTGTCTATGTCTCTCTGGAACTGACTGTGAAAAGTGAAACTTTAATTTCCTAACAAATCTGTAAGATTTAACACGAAGAGCTGTTGGGTTGGGAGAACACGAGGAGTGTGTGTGTGTGTTGTATGTGTTTTCTTGTTCGGGTTGGGATTTTTGGCTGGCGTTTATTGATGTTGATGTGAGATTGAATGTGGGTTTTTCAGCTTGGCCAAGGAGGGGTAGGGGTGGTTCCTTGTCGGTGTTGGGTTGGGACCTTCCCTCATTGAAATTGATGACGATGGGGTCATGAGACATTCTTCGCTAGTGGTGGTGGGAATGGAGGATTTGGGTGCAGAGCTGTGGAGCTGGTACCGTAGGAGTGATGGGAGCATGAATATGACATGAAAAGAAACAAAAGTGGAGATGAGGGACTACGGCAGTTATCTTGCAAATTCAATGCCAAAATGTGAATCGGATACAAGGACTGACACCTTAAAGCACAGAATGTTACAATAACAATGAGCTCAAATCTCGTAAAAGAAGGGAAGGTTAATTAAAAAGAAATTCTTAAGCTCCGGTGGTTGAGCTCTTTCATATTCATCTATGCAAGCAGAAGTTCGAAATCCCCAAATACCTAATGAATGTTTGTGTAGATCCCAAAATACCTTCAAGTGATTGACAAACACAACTTTAAAATTTTAGGGAAATAAAAAAAGTGATGATCTGGCACTGGCATTGTACCGGATAATCACCCTAAGCTCAGCATGCCCTGAGATGACTCCACGCATGCATTTTTGTCAAGGCTCCTTCCCTCCACTCTACCAGTTTCCAACTCGATGGCTAAGCACAACGCAATGACGCGTACCACCCAATCACATCGCTCCACGTAGGATCCGCACTCCCCAAACCGGCATTTTACGGTCACCATACGTATCCACCGGATCCACGTCATCACCCTTCTCTCACCAAACCTCTCCGCTTACCTACCAAAGCAGTCAACACTGTCCAGCTTTCGCACTCTTTGACTGTCCGTAAAATTATATAATTTCCCGGAAAATCTTTCAAAATACCAACCAAAACAGAAAATTAGGATTTTACGTCACTTTTCCTTAACCTTCTTCTTTCGGAGTCTGGGTTAAATTTTTGTTTCAGTGGAATTTGAAAATCTCTTTGCTTTCAATTTCTCTTCGGATAATAAGAGAATCAAAATATGTTTCTGGTGGATTGGTTCTATGGGGTTCTGGCGTCGCTAGGGCTATGGCAGAAAGAGGCGAAGATCTTGTTCTTAGGGCTTGATAATGCCGGAAAGACCACCTTGCTTCACATGCTCAAAGATGAGGTGCCGAGTCTCTCTCGTTCTCTGTCTTTATTTGAATTTCTTATTTGGGACGATTGCTGTTTCGTTTTGAGTTGAACAAGTTAGGGTTTTTTTGGTTGCAGAGATTAGTTCAACACCAACCGACCCAGTATCCGACCTCGGAGGAACTGAGTATAGGGCAGATTAAGTTCAAGGCCTTTGATTTGGGTGGCCATCAGATCGCTCGCAGAGTCTGGAAGGACTATTACGCCAAGGTTTAAATTTTACCCAAAATACTAATTCAAGTTCTTTGATTTTTGATATGGTAATTTAGAGTTTGATTTGATTCGTTCTTAGAAATTGTGGTTGCATGTTATAGATGTTGGATAAAAAATGAAAAGTTTAGCATATACATGCGTGTGTATGGTATGTTTGTGTGTGTATATGCAATGGAATGGAACCCTATTGGAATAAAGAAAGAACAGAACCTTGGTAGTGACTAAATGAATTTTTAAGCCATCCCTTGTTTTTGTAGTCACATCCATGGGTGTGAATCACATGCAGTGAATTTCATGTTATTTTATTCCTAGTCCTTGAACTTGAAGTTATAGGTGCAGGGTTGCAGTCAAGAGTTTGGTCGTTGTGATTATTATAATGCCAATTGATGGTTTTTGTCAAATTAGTTTTGGGTTCTAACGGGTAATTTTCGCAGAATGGGGCTTAGCCCATGATTTGTCTTTATTTGATGAGCATATATTCATAGATGATGTGCCACCTTTTTTATTGTTTAGGTGGATGCTGTAGTCTACCTGGTTGATGCTTATGACAAGGAGAGATTTGCAGAGTCAAAGAAGGAGCTCGATGCTCTTCTCTCCGACGAGTCGCTTGCAACTGTCCCATTTCTTATCTTGGGAAACAAGATTGACATACCTTATGCTGCCTCAGAGGATGAGCTGCGTCACCATATGGGCCTGACAAACTTCACCACAGGTAAAGGGAAGGTGAATCTGGCCGATTCCAATGTTCGCCCCCTTGAGGTGTTCATGTGCAGCATTGTCCGTAAGATGGGGTACGGCGAAGGCTTCAAGTGGCTCTCTCAATACATCAATTAGGCGGAACAATGGAGAAGCAGCTGTGCCACAGGATATGGTAGTTTTGCTGCCGCTTTTGGACTCTCCATTAGATTTGATGTTCTCAATTTCTAAGCATAGATGCTTCTGTAAAGTGGATATGTTATCTTTAGATGCATAGCAGGTTTTTGCTCTTCAATTTTAGCTTCGAAACCCAGTGTGCATTTTCTTACTATTTCTTCTATAATGTTTTTTTATGTTCAGGATAGATTAGTTGTGTTAGTTTTCTTACCATGTATTGGTAATTAGATTGCAGAACCAATAAATATTTACAGAATGCCTACTCTGCCTTGATGCTTCCTGTTTTTCTACCTTGCCAAGTAGTATTGGTGACCACTCTCGCAAGTGACAAGCTACCATTCAATAAGTAGTATTGGTGACCACTCTCACAAGTAGTATTGGTGACCACTCTCACAAGTGACAAGCTACCATTCACTAAGTAGGGTCTCCCACTTTCCACTGTTCCTTTATCTATGACCTGCAAGTGATCAAATGTGGACCTAACCACCAAGGCTACAACTTCAACTACCAAAAGGTAGTGCTGAGGTTCTTCATTGATTAGAACATTGACCAAATAGTATGGTGGGGAAGCAGATTACACACACAAATATGAACAAGATGTGGTACTTCCACAAGAACACTAAAAACCAAGAAGCACATCACGACTGACCCATTATGATACGGTCACTGAGACTAGAACCCTCCTCCCAACAATCCTAAAACGGTCTGAAAGGGTCAAAATCGCAAAACTATTTGTTCTAGGCATTTACAAGTTATACAGGCTACACAACTACAGAGAGCTCCACCCCCAGTTTTTTCATTTGCCTGTCTAGACCTCAGGAATTTCTTCAATTATCCATGTTAGAGTCAGGGTCCAGAAGCTCTTCGAATTCCAGCTGCAGAAGATAAAGATTTGATTGGTTAATGTATCGGCAGAATTGTACTGTAACATTGAAAGATGAATTCTAACCAGATCACTCACCTTTGCTTCAATGTGGGTCAACTTCATCCGACTATATTCTTCTTGTGCTTTCTTTGAGCGGAACATGGCCTGAACCCGTACAACAGATCTCTCAATGCGCTCTTCAGCTTGTTTCCGGCTGGCCCGGTAGAAGTCTTCTTCTGTATCACTTTCCTGCTTCTGATCTAAATCGACTTCAACTGGGGCCACATTAAGCCCACGAAGCCCTCTTCTTTTCAAACGCCACCGCAAAACAGCTTTCTCAAGCACTCCAACTGACCAAAGAACTTTACGGTACTGCTTTCGCACTTGGAATCCCCGAAAAGCAGCCTGCATAAAATGAAAGTGCAATCAACCAATTTTTCCTGGACTCTCAAGAGTTAATCCATCACTGTTACTGCATGTATTAATCACCAAATTTTTAAAAATATATAATTCATTAACAGTCACAATGATATCATGCACCAAGAATTCACGACCAAACAAAAATCATACACCAACAATTAGAATGGAGCGCCTTTGGGGTGGTGGTGGTGGGGGGGGGGGGGATACAAATGAAGGTTGCAATTTGACCAATCAAATGTAAAACTGATTGACCCTATGTGAATTGACTCAAAATGCCCTATTTAAATTTGATTTTCCAAAAGGATTTGGTTTATGTCAGAAAGAAGGGAAGAGGCTTTACTTGAATTTTGATAGCTTGACGGCGCAAACTAAGGAATTCTTGGCGCATCTTCCAGGTACGAAACCTATATTGAATGTGGGCAGCAGCTTTGATCTTTTTTCGTGTATCAAAGTTGCGAAAGGCATGTTGAATTTTCAATGCTGCAATTATACCACGTGCTTCAGCCTCTGGAGTGGAATACTGAACCGCTTTAGCCTTTAATTTTAGTGAGTTCTCCCTGAAGGCAGCCTGTATTCGTGCTGCAGCATCAGCAGCTGTCCGATACGCTGTCAAAGTATCCTTCAGATATATCTCGTCCTCACTGAGGTTCTCAGAGTTCCCTGCATAGTTTGAGCTAGTTTGAAGGGAACCACTAGCATTTCCAGCTATGCTCATATCCTTGAATTGTTCTACCAAAGCCTTCTCTGACAGATAAGCTGCTAAGCCATCATACCCCTTCAGGGCTGCAAGATCAGCAGCAGTGCATCCACCAGGGTTTTCTGAACTGGGGTCTGTGACCAAGTTTGGCTTTGCCCCTGCAGATAAAAGAACGGCAACCATTTTCTCCCTACACATGGAGACTTTTAGCATTAAGAAAATCTCAGAAGATATAATTCCAATCTCGTCACAGAATGCATTTAAACAATTTTACTCCACGTAAATCAATTTCAGATGCATGTAAAACAAACATCACAAAATCAATACGAGCAAGAGGATAAAAATTGTTGACATAAAGCTCAAGCTATCCTGCATGAGCAGAGGATATAGAGTTGGAAAAGTTCTACCATACAAGTATTAAAAGTTAAATAGAACACAGCAAACCTAAGTAGCAATGTAGAAGATATTTTTGAGAAAAATACAATTTAAATTAATAAGCAAATGATAAAACCATACCTTCCACAATAATTAGAATGAAAGGTTATAAATAAATAAAATATTAAAAAGAAATAACGTCATACCTTCCACAATATGCTGCCCAATGAAGGGCTGTCCATCCACGTCTATCACGAAAGTCTAATGACAAGCCTGACCATGAAAACAAGCGAACAGCCCATGCATATTCTAAAATAGCACATAAATGGATTACTCCTTGGCCATGAGCATCATATTCTTTGGTTGTAGAGCTGTCAACAACTTTCTCCAACAGCCAATCCTTTAATCTGTTCTTCAAAATGAGTTCGAACAGACCATCCTTTGCCAGTGGTAAGGGAGTTTTGTTGTCTTCAACTGCCTTCATCAAATATGCCCAGCTATTAGATATGTGCGAGGTTCTGTGGGAAAACTTCTTGGCTTCTTTCAGGGCATTCGGTGATACTTTATTAGATATAATGTTAAGGCTCTTAGATGAAGAGAAAAGTAAATAAGCAAGCCGCATCTGTGCTTGGAACTCTTCCCTTTTGTTCTCTTCCAAAGAAATAATTGGATCACTCAAAACAGGAGCCCGATATTCGAAGTTTAGTACTAGGCTGATGGGTTTATGGCCATCAATACTCATAAAAAGGTTTACTACTCTGGGTAAATGTGGTGGTACAAAACAGCGATACACCCCAGCCTGAACAATTTCTGCACGAAGACATACATCGCCACAAATACAGAGTAGATCGGACTTTGCAAGATGTAAATACTCTTGGTGAAAGAAGCCAGTGATTAGAATCTGCAAAGGGATTAGCTAGATGATAAAATTTATGTTGAGCAGTACAACCTGAATATTCAGGTTAATTAAAACATATAAAAGGAGGGTCATTCAAAATCAGGACAGATCAACATTTGTCATGCCAAGCTAGAGGCCTGAGAAACAATTATGAGGGCCACTTTTTTCAACCTTATATTCTTTTCCAAAAATGAAAAACAACAGAAGTTCATCCTCCACCAAAAGTCAAGATCCAGTTTCATGTATTTGCCTATTGACTTTATAATATTTATTTATTTTTTTCTTTACAGAAGGACTAGAACCTACGGTATAATCCTTACCCTGCCCACCCGATCCCAATGTCACCCGAGCCAAGGCCCAAGGGCTTTATTTGTTCTTATTGATGCACTAAATAAAATATGTAGCTCATTTGGATTTAGTTCTAAAAGCATATTCCTGTACTAATGAACATGTACATTGATCAGATTCCAAATAATTCAATTTCCCTGTCACATAAGAATCATTTATTTTGTTAAAATTTGCTTTGATATTTTAATATTTCAATATGTCACCATGATGTTAGGTATATCACATGATTTGATATGCTTGAATATTTTTTTTTTTCAACTAATATGAAATAACTTATCATTGTCAGCACAATTAAAGGATGAATGTCCCTTCTTAAACACTTAAATATGAGTTGTTAAAGATTTCCCATTGGAATTTCAAGAACAAGATTTCAACTTTATTCATGAAGAACAAAAGGTGGCCATCAACAGTCAATGAATAACATAAACAATAATATGGGGTGTTAAGCAAAGAGGAAAACCTTTGTTTTTTCGTTTGAAAAGGCCCATGCAGGTGACAGATCAGTTATATTAAATATTTGCTGAGGAACAGAAGATTGAAGATGATCAGCTGAAGGAGAAGCAAATGAATTTTGAGCAGCTAAAGATGAGGATTCAAGTGCTGGGTCTTCCACTGAGCCTGGAGGGTCTGCCATGACCTGGTTTATCCACCTTCCAAAACTGTCCTGACTATGTAATCCATCATTAACCAAAACGTCCAAGGAATCACAGGTGGTCTTGGCAATAGAATCCCTTATCTGGACATTTGAATTCACATCATACCCCACTGTCGGAACATACGGACTGTCTGGAAGATTGAATTGAATGTTATCACAACTCAAAGTTGGATTGGTTAAATTACCAAAAGCAGACATTTCAGCTGATATAACGCTGGCTCCCTGCAAAGACAAACCATTTATGCAAATGAGTTGCAGCAGAACAATGTGCAACAACATACAACACATGAAAAATATAAGAACTAATAAAATGCCAAATGTGTATAAGAAAGAATAAATTGCCAATGTGGAAGGACTAAAATAGATAGAGAGCATAAATTTAGAATTATGAATGATTCTACTTACACCACTTATGAAGCCATTTCCTACGACTTGATTCTGCTGGTCATAGCATGAGCCTATGTCTGGCACCCCAAAAGCCCACCACAGAGAGAATAATGGTTAATAATTTCATCATTTTGGGTTCTGCTCTAGCAATAACTGTTATCTGGTCACTTACCTCCTTTAGAATCATTTGTAATCAGAAGTTCCTCCCATTCAAGTGTATTGATATCATGGAGCCTCTTTTCATGATTCTTAACAGTCAAACCATCACCAGGCTCTGTTGATCATAAAAGAACCAAGGGTAAGAACCTTGTATATCCATTTTCAATAAAAATAGCAGAAGGAAATAGTAACTTAACTAAACAAGGAAAAAAAAATTAGTAAAACATCAAGAAGAATGAAAAAAAAATTCTTATCATGATAAGTAATTTATCTTCTAACATCACGAAGCTCCAAATTCTGTTGTGGTTTGCTGAAATGACAGAGACTATTCCCAAAACAAATACATATCATGATAATTGAGGTATTCCTCAAATAAAATTATTTGAGGGACACCCTTTAGGGTACCCTACGATTGTTTTTTCAATGATCCAATCCGTCTATTTTTCAAATCTTCATTCATAGACCATCCTTTCAAAAAAACTCTTGCAAATTGAAAATCATTAAGGCATTTAATTGGGACCAAAATAGGCGAACACGATGCTTCAAGAAAAGACTATAATAACAACCATCTAATTGGGTGGTCAAATGGTTTCGGATTGAAATGATTTTTTGCAGAGATGATCTTTGATGGAATATCTAAAAACTAGACAGTTCGGATTACTGAAATACAATGCATGGTGGGGCCTACAAGGGTGTCCCTCAAACAAGCTTATTTGGTGGGGCCTACAAGGGTGTTTCTATATATAACATAATTTATAAAAGTCATCTTGCAGAAAGTTCATATGCAGTCACCTGAAAGTTCATTTTCACCAGCACAATATGCCTTGTTAGCCCCAGAATCAAGTTCTTCTGATAAAAGCCAAGGAGCCGATGGGTCAGAGACAGAACTAGAATTATTTGAATTCACAGGTGTGACTGGAGAACCCTGCAACTGCATGGAAAGCAAACAACAGCAAAATACAAGGTTAGAAGATCTAGTTGGTTATTGAAAAAATGGCACAAAGAATTGGTTCCAGATATTGCCAAGTTATACCACTTATGCATGAAGGTATTACCAAGCTCTTTGTTTTATCATAAGAATAAGAAATCGAAGAGTGCCTCATGCAATTTGACAGAAGCCACAGAGTGTACAGTGTATAAAATTAGGATTAAATGTTTGCATCACACCTAATGGCTTTTCGAACAAGTTTAAACTGAAAATTGCTGAAAATTAAGAAAACAATACGCATTTCAATATTCTAAGACTGCAAACTCAATAATTCATGCTATGAAAAGGAGCATCAACATTCTGATTGTGCTTAATCTCGAAGCACATTTAATTAAAAGAGCTTTAGAAAAACCACCTCTTGGGTTTCACGGTAATGAACAAGGACTATATGTTCTAGACTCCTGCAACAGGAATACAACAAAACTTTCAGTAAGACTGCTCTTATGCAACAAAACTTTCAGGAGTCGTATTTTAGGAGATACAGTTATAAAACAATAAGGTCATCAATGGATCCAGATAAACTGTAATTATTACATACTTATCAAGCAGCCAATAACACCTCCGGACAAAGGTTGGGCTATCTTCGCCATGTGCATAGTATACATGAATCCTTTCTTCATAACCAACCTGCACCACACAAAAAATGACAAGATTTGATGAACTGAGTCAACTGAAAATAATAATTCCATAACAAAATAAGCTATAACAATCATGGTGAAAGGTGTACAAAGAATATGTTGAAACAGACAGCATCATTTGGTACATATAGGACAAAGACACCTTTTCCTTACACCCTGCCACTTTGTTACTTTTGTCTCTCAATCAAAACAGTGACCATTTTAGCAGCAAATTAACCACACAAAAAAATACAGTATTTACAATAAAGGAAAAAAATCCATAGACATGAGGCCATTTGTAGGAGGTTGGAGTATGGTGCAAAAAAAAAAAAATTTCAACCAAGTTTTGATTAATGAGATTTTGCAGTTGATAAAACTACTTGTAATTTTTAAACCATCAAGCACCCCATGGTCCGAGTGGTGATAGCATTTCTCTTCTGCATGTCCATGGAAAAGGAAAATTTCCATCAGACAAGTTTCAATGTAACCTTTTCAATAATCAATCCCAATCCCAACTTTGTGGGCTAGTTAAAACAATACTGATATTCAAATTCTTCAATTCTTCGAGTCCTGTCTTCTATTAATAACTTGGGGAATCCCAAACATTATGCGGGGCCATCTCTTTTATTTAGTTAGGACATATTATTTCTCCAAGAATTATAATTTCCAGTCTAGTATAGTCACAGAAAACATTTGATGTTATCATGAAAATTACAAAACTTAGAAGATAAGGCTGGAAGTGTTGGGAAAACACCACAAATTCACTGAGAAAAAATTAGTCACAGAAATATAGTTGATGCCACAAGTAACACCTTAGAGAGGGGAAAAGAAAATGAACAGGGAACACTCACTTTTAAGTGTTCATGAGCTTCTTTAACTGTCTTCCCATCCTTTTTCTTCTTCCAGTTATGACCATCTTTCCTGAAGTTTCTAAGCATCTTACGGTCAAACAATACAATAGTGCCACCTGTGACATTTAGAAAAATTACCAAAATGTACAACACAACAGTTTCAGTATTTACATATCTCCTGTCAAAGTTAAAACTGGCAGAAGCTGTATGCTGTGTGCAAAACTGCCTTAGGCAATGGAAGTATTATTTCATGATAATGACTGTGTCTTGACAAAATAACAGTTTTATATATGTCTGACCTCATATGCAAATTGTTTTCATCTCATCATACACACATAAATGGTGAATTCTTAATTCATCAAGTTTCACGAGGACAGCATTTAATACTCCCACTTATAAGAAAACTTATACCGTAAGTTATCTGTAGAAACATTTTCAAGAGAATACGAGAAAGCTACTGCAAATAAAGTTGCAAGTTTCATCATGAGTTAACAATAGGAATAGTTGGTGAAATCAGATGGGGATGAAGTTGCAGTGGGGGAACAATAATTCAACCACATGATATAATTTTCTTACAACTGTAACAGATATTTACTTTTGGGCAAGTTCACTGGCTTGACATAGATGGTGAAATACTTGTAATTGTAGAGTATTGCATGAATTTCATTTGGGCGGAGCCATCTTGATTTGGCTTCCTCCATAATAGTCCCAACATCCAAATCTGTGCATGAAACAAGAACCCCCAATAAGAAAAAAAACCATGTGAAATTTTACAATCCGATCAACAATCCACAGTCATAATCAGAATAGCAATAAGAACCAATACAGGCACGTAGTGACTAGAAAAACTTAACACAGGAAAACAAAGTCCGATCCAACCATCTGAACTGTACCGACATGATACCTTATCTATGTCATTCTATCTGTCCTCGTCTTATCCTTTGCTCCCAGGGCAACGTCACTCTTAAGCCTTTAAACTATCACAACTTTGCACTAGTAAAATCTAGTTTCACATGATTATTTGGCATCACAAGGCTGGCGACTTGGGAACAAATCATCCTGAGCTTTCATTCTACAAGCTCACCCAGCAACTTTGCAATTGTTACTACTACTTATCAATAAAGACAAGAAAGGAGGTTCTGTCCTTTTAGGCATTTCACATGCGTCGTTTCTTGCTCTCTTTTAATTAGCACATAAAACTACTTTTGATACCTCTTACTCATGCCAAATTCGCTTCTGGATTCACTAAAAGCACTTCCTAAATGAAAATCCAAGCTCGATGCTCTTGCTTGCTTCCATTGAACGCGTAAATTAGTTTAGAAAAAAATGATCATCCAAAGCCAAAATTCACTTTCTTCAACAAGCAAACCAAAAAACTTTCCATTATAGGCCAAATTATACATACACAAAACCAAATAACAATTTATCTTTTAAAATGAAAAATAATAATAATTAAAAAAATAAAAAAAAAGGAACTTCGTCCGTACCTTGCATTGTATGGAATCCATGAATCTCTGAACCCCCAAGCTGCTTTTCCATGGTCAATAAAACCACCACGCAACCCCCAGAATGAAGAATTCTCTCTCACTCAAAAGCTTAAACCCATGAAAACCTAAACCCAACAGAAAATTAAGCAATAATTTCTCAAAATCAAAACAAAAACGATCAAAAGCAAAACAATAACAAACTGAAATTACCTAAACAAAATCCAAGTGAAAGAGAAACGTCGGGAGCTCTAAACAGTCTTCTTCTAGCTCAGAAGCCTTCTATGATTGTCAGTTTTTTAATAACATTAAAGGCACCAGTCGAAAGCAAGCTGACTAATAAACAATTCTAAAAGGCAGGTCCTTTCGGCTTTTGCTGATTTAGAAAATGAAACAGGTCAATAAAAGAAAAATGTACAGGACAGGTCAGCTGCTCATCAATGCGGGTGGGTTTTCTTCTGCTGGGGGTCGCAGGATAACAATTCTGCCAAGGTAGATATTGGCCGTCCATTGATTCATACGCGGCAGATCTTCAGCCACTATTTAGACAATTGTTCCATGCATGGTTTTTTTTTCTTTTCTTTTTTCCCGAACTAGATCAATTTTTCGTTGATTAAAGTAGTTTAGACTGTGACATTCGAAAGTAAAAAAGTATCTCACCGAGGTATTTGAATTGTCCTATGATACGTAACTGATTTCTAACTGTTAATTCATATGAAATTCGACATGCAATATTCATGATTTTTTACATAGGGGTGCTGCTAAGCGTTACTCGTTTTTTTTTTTAATTTTTTGATGCGGGCTAAAGCGTTAGTCGTCGTTTGTGGGCCTTGGCTTGCTTTCTTTTTTAATATGGATGCTGGTAAAATCTGATTTAGAGATCTGATGTCTGTCGGAACACCACCATGTATACATCTGAACACAACGTAACAACCTTTGATGCTAAATTGTTGGTGGCGCCGTACCTTTTTAAACTAGACTGAAACACATTAATATTATTGTCTTTTCAAACCAAAGCACACGATCACACCATAATCATAATAATGGTTAGAACTATGTTCTCAGCTACTGACTGAATTCTCCTTCATCATATTAGTTCCCCACGCTTGCCCCACCGACAGTGCATTTCATTAGAAGGGTGTGTACTAGGTTTAGGTCAAATACGTGTTGCACACTCACAAGGCAATGGCTGGATAGATATTGATCTAGGCGATTGTGCCATTCCATGCATGGTTTTCCGAGTGAAGGTGGGGTTCGAACCTCCCTAACTCCTATGCGTTGAGCAAATGTGTCACAGAACAGTCTGGATTCAGCCAAACCCAAACCTAAGATCACATTGTAGTCTTGCATAAGAAATAGATGACAAAGAACTATTAGTTTATTTAAGTGAATTTTGAGTTCACAAGTTTGGGTTTGGCTGAATTCCGACTAGGACAAATAAGGACGGAACAACAAATTTTCCAACGGGTGAGCTAGCTAAAGTTATTAACTTTCTATAGAGATTTTTGTAGAAATGCACCTAAACTTATACACCAATTTCAATTTGTCACCTTAAAGACAAATTTAAAAGAAATGCCACCTTAATTTTTCAAAATCTATGATTTATCATATGACTTTAACGCCAGCCAATTTTTCATCCATTTTCAAGGGTATTTGAGTCTTTGCAATATGTAAACCCTCTGTTAGGGATGTCAATTTTTCCCACATGTAAGGGTTTTCGTGGGGATTCAATCCTAATGGGTCGGGTATGAACGACAAAAAACAAGTATGGGGATGGGTACGGGGAACTTTTTGGGTATGATGTTCGGGGATGGGTAGGGATGGTATTTAAATCCCCGACCCAAACCCTCCCCATTTAGAATATATATATATTAATTTTTTGATGAGGTATATATATATTATAGTATGTATAAATATGCTATTGAAGTGATTGTACGGACTAAGTTTTATATTTTTATATTATTATATACTTATATAATTTATTCAAATCTTAAGCCACACTACTTATTTATTTAGTTAACTTCCAATACATATATAAACATTCTTATATTGTCTTATAAGTATATTATATATATATTCATTATCTTGCCTTAGTAAAAAAAAAATTCAACAAAGTAGTTATATATTGATTTTTTCTTCCGTAATGGGACAGGTCGGGGAACCCATTCTCCAATGAAGGTGGGAATGAGGAATCCCTGATATGAATATTATGGGTATGAAGGCAGAGATGGGGGAAAAAAGCTTAATAGGGATGGGGATGAGAATGACATACCCACCCCCGATTCGACCCATTGCCATCCCTACCCTCTGTGAAGCTCATTTTTCGAACAAAAAAAAAATCAGAAAAGACAAGAGTAATACTTTTATGCATGAACAACACTCAAACTTTCGGGTTTCGAATTTTTTTTGTTGAGGGATCTTTGCAAGTTGTCGAGTTACAGTGACTTTGGCATTGATGGCGACTTTACACTACATTGTCACTGGGACCCTCCAAACTACGGTACAACTTTTCTTTCTACTTGGGACCCTCCAATTTGGGATTATGTTTTGAAGTGATGTAGCTTTGTGGCCTTGGTACAAGTTGTAGACTTGGTCGCATTTTAAACCTATTTTGTGAAGTCATTTTGGCAACTTTTGTTTTGTATGTCAATTTCCATATGATGTCTTTTGTCAATTTCTTTCTCAAATTTGAATTAGTTCCTTTGATTATTTCCCTAAAAAAATTTTGTGACCATAAAGTTTGAGTGTTGTTTAGGAGTAAAAGTCTTGCTTTTGGGGTTTTAACTCCCTTTTCTTCGCCAAAAAAGAGCTTAAAAGAGGGTTTACATAGCTTTCTATATATATTCCATCAAGGAATCCCTTAAATTAACTTATTTGAGGGATACCTTTGTATGGCTCACTTCGCATTGTATTTCACTAATCCAAATCGTCTATTTTTTAGATAATCATTCAAAGATCATCTTTACAAAAGATCACTTGAATCCGATATCATTTGACCACTCAATTGAGTTATTGAAATTTTAGTAGTTTCTTGAAGCACCGTGTTCATTGATTTTATAGGACACAATTGGATGTCGAAACGGTTTCCAATTTGTCTAATTTTTTGCAAGGATGATCTATGAATGTAGACTTAAAAAATAGATGGTAAGGGTGTCCCTCAATAAAAGAGGACTATATATATATATATATATATATGACAAATCATGAATTGGAAAGACTAAATACCCTTGAAAATGGATGGAAAATTGGATGGCCTTAAAGTTAGATGACAAATCATGAATTTTGAAAAATTAAGGTGATATTTCTCTTAAATATTCCTTTAAGGTGACAAATTGAAACTTGTGTATAAGTTTAGGTGACATTTATACAAAAATCCATAAAATCTAATTATCATTTTTTTAAAACTTATAAACCACGTTAGTTTATATGACCCAAAAAAAAAATCACGTTAGTTCATAGCTTCATTGGCTAATTTCCAATAAGCATTATCATAAAACAAATACATATTAAATGTAACCGAAAAACACATATTATCGAAATGAAAATATATTCAACAGAATTGAAAGTATACGTATTTTAATGTGTATTTTTATTGCTTGCATGCAACTAAATTCATGAAGAATTGGACTTTTTTGGGCTTTAATAAGTTAATATATATTGAGCAATATTTAAAACAAGTCAAATATATAAGTTCGATGTTTTTTTCCCTCAAAAACCACATTGGCCCGTAGTGTGGTTCCGCTGGTGGTGACAAAATGTGTTACGCCTAGTTGGCTAGAGCATTGTGTGCATTGCCCTCAAGTTCGATTCCTATTGTTATAGATTCTCATTGAAGTCCAATGTGTATTTTTTTAAATTCACTTTGTTTTTGGCATATTTACTAATTGTTATGCATACATTGTTTTTGAAATGTGCTACAACGACTTGTTGATGAGTACGTAAGTAATTTCTTATTGATGATGTATGTGGAGCATGACATCTTATCAACCATTAAAAACTGACCAAGACACAACCATATATGTCTCAATTCAACGTACCGACGTGTGGTGCTAAATTGCCGGTGATGCCATACCTTGTGTATATTTTTGACCACATTATAGCTTAGTCTAAAGACACAACTTTTTTTCTCATTGTCCTTTGAAACCAAAGCACATGTCACGCCCCGATTCGAAAATAGGGACTATCTCCGAATTAAGGCATGAATCATACCATAGTTATAAAAACAAACTCCGATAACTATGATATGATATAAATAGAGCCAATAATATTACAAACTTATTTTAATAAGTACAAAGTCAGAGTCACAGTAGCTCAAAGTTAGTTACACACACCACAGTAATATTCCACACAATTTATTCCTTAATAATTTTACAAACAGTATCTAACAACACTGATCTAGTCCTCTGGTGGAACTTCTCCTACCTCGGGATTTGCATTGAAACCTGCAACATCTATTAGGGTGTGAGCATTTTAATGCCCAGTAGAGTACTGTAACATCCCCCCCCTTCAAAGCCAGCTATCACTGCTAACCAAAGTGGCATGCATTACACAATTACAAAAATAAATAAGTCATGCATATGCGATGATGTCATGAACTCACTCCCTTCTAAACCCACTAATTCATACTTTAGAGCATCAAGCCTGCATGTCCCATACCATGCATTTTACTACTGTGGCTCCGAATACCCTAAAATACAAATTAGTGCCCATCCATCCCTTACCCCAAGTTCATTTTGTTTACGAATTTCTCAACTTTCACTTTTTGTTAGAGGCCCTGCTCCCATCACCTTAATATATTCAAGCTCTGCTCCCGTCACCCGAATATATTCCACATTTTTTTCCTGATATATCTAAAGTCTTCTCCCACCCTTTAGATATACCTTAAACTACGCACAGACCCAACACAACTGTATTTATGATCCATATGTAATGCAGCTCAAACGTTTGCAGAATGATAACAATTCAAATAAAAATAATAATATTTCAAATTTATTCACATGAATAGTAATATTCATCAAACATCATATAATATTCAATAAACATCCATAAAACAACATTAGCATTCACTTAACGATACACACCAAGCAAAACAACACGATATTCATATTTAATATTATATATAAACACCAAGATTAACAGTGATATAGTCTAATCATTGGGGAAAAGTTAGAGACCCTACCTCGTATCCAAGAAGCTAAAAGGACGAAATTACCCTTCGGAGGTGGTCGGGTTCTCTCCCGTTCCTAGATTTGGACAATAAATAATTAAATAACATAAATGAAGTTAGAAAAATCTAATTTTTATAAAAACATTTTTCTTTCTTAACATAGAGAGTGCACCCCACTCTCCAAGCTAAACCCCTCAAAAAGTCCCGAAACCTATACCGTCGGACTCGGATCGAGAAATCGAGTCGAATGGACTAAAAATATGGCGTCGGAGGCTGCCGGAACAGCCGCCACGCGCCGCCACTTTCCGGAGCCGCGAGTGGGCTTGTTCCGGTTACTGTTCATCGTCTTCAAAAATCCTGCAACTTCCCCTGTTTTTCCAGTTTTAATCCCAGATTTTTGTGAGACCTTTTGTCCAACCAAACGTCAACGAAAATGAGCAAAATCAATATGGTTTTGAAGCTTAGTATCTGTAGTTTCTAACCCAACAAACCAAACTGAAAACGGATCTAAAACGAAGGAGAAAACCAGCTCCAAAATTAGGCTCATGACTGGTTTTTCTGCAGAAAACAGACTTTTTTCCAAACTTTGCACAAGTGTTCAACCTATCAAAACTCAACCAAATTCGACGAAACTAATTTTTATTTGTTCCTTGCCATGTCTAGTTTAAAACCCAACAATTGACTTCCTCAAACACTCAAAATATTGGGAGAAACAGAGATCCAAAGGGAGGCTCGCAGGCTGAAAATTTCCAGAAAAATAACATTTTCCAGATTTTGTTCAAAATTGTTTTCAACCATTCTAACACCCCAAGTGGTTCCTAAGGCTTCTAAAACTCTTCTAACTTCATACCTATCACTTGAACTCATCAAAACTCAAAATGAAACCAAAATCAACAACACCCATAGTTGAAAAAAATGATCTATACACCCAATCCGAAAATAGAGATTCAACCTCTTCCAATTCAATCTTCCTAACATTCAATTTGTTAATTATGTAGTCAATTAATGTGTTAATTATGTAGTCAATTAATGTTTGGCACCTACTATGTTTGGCACCTACAATAT